TTCACATACTGGTTCGCGTTCCCAGCGCTGCACTCAGACCCTCAGTGGAAGCGTACAGGACCGATCGGCCGCCTTGACCCTAAGGAGAGCACGGCACTGGTCGATCGAGTGGGCACATGGCAAGCCAACCGCGACAAGAGGCAGAACGGATTCTTCCTCGCCAAGAAGGCGAGAGGTGTGGATGTTAGCGACTTGGATAAGGATGCGAATAGCGACCTCCACGACCTCAACGATACGTTTGGCTATGTGTGGGAAGTTGCCAACCTCGGAGAGTTCGAGAATGGCTTCTTCGACGACGTTGCCGAGGAGGACCGATACGTTTCATTTGTCGACCCTTCGACGTACCCCGAAAACCCTTCATGGCCACTGCGAAACCTTCTCTGGCTTGTTCGGCAGCGGTTCCGGCAGACCAAGGTCCAGATCTTGTGTTACCGCGATATCAGATCTAGCAGGCATGCGGCTAGAAGCATCATTCTGCCGTTGGAGATGGATCCAGTTGAGCCACTTGCGGTGGCTGAAATGCCCAAGGTCACAGGCTGGGAGCGAGACGGAGAGGGCAAGCTACGAGCTAGGATCGCCAACCTCGGGGAGTACATGGACCCAACGCGACTGGCTGACCAGTCCGTGGACCTGAACCTCAAACTCATGAAATGGAGGATTTCACCAAACCTGGACCTGGATACTATCAAATCCACCAAATGTCTATTGTTAGGTGCCGGCACGTTAGGAAGCTACGTTTCCAGAAACCTCATGGGCTGGGGTGTACGGAAGATTACATTTGTGGACTATGGACGCGTATCGTACTCGAATCCCGTGCGGCAGCCTTTATTCGAATTCGAGGACTGCTTGGAAGGCGGAAAGTTCAAGGCGACGCGGGCGGCAGACGCCCTCAAGAGGATCTATCCCGGTGTTGAGAGCGAAGGTCACGTTTTATCGGTTCCCATGTTGGGCCACCCGTTTACGGACGAGGCTAGGAGTAAAGCGGACTACGACAAGCTGAAGCAGCTGATAGACGAGCACGACGCAATCTTCCTTCTGATGGACAGCCGAGAGTCGAGATGGCTCCCAAGTGTTCTGGGCAAAGCAAATGGCAAGATTGTGCTCAATGCAGCGCTGGGCTTCGACTCTTTCGTCGTGATGCGGCACGGCGCTGAACCAACCGATGTTCAGCCAGAGGACAAGGAGCGCAAGACACTGGGTTGCTACTTCTGCAACGACGTAGTCACACCAGCCGACGTGAGTATACCGTGACTTCTCAAGTTCTTCTCCCACTGACAACTTGCAGTCGCAAAAAGATCAGACCCTGGACCAACAATGTACGGTAACCAGACCCGGTGTCGCGGCGATCGCGTCAGCGCTGCTCGTTGAACTGTTCGCGAGTCTGCTTCAGCATCCCCTCAAGCAACACGCGCCGGCGCCCCAGACGTCGGCAGACGAGAAGGACCCCGTGGACCATGCCCTGGGACTTGTGCCTCATACCGTCCGCGGCTACCTGCATAACTTCAACAACAAGGTCATTCGCGGAGAGTCGTACCCATGCTGTAGTGCGTGTGGCCCACCGATTTTAGAGGCTTACCGAAACGACGGCTGGGGGTTCGTCAAGAAGGCGCTTTTGGAGAAGGACTTTGTTGCCGAGTTATCTGGGCTCGCAGAGGTTCAGCGGGAGGCTGAGAGGCGAGCGGCATCTATGGACTGGGAAGAGGAGGAAGATGGAGCGGATGACGGGGATGGAGAGTTGATTTGAGAAGTCAGGCTCTCGTGCAATATACGAAGTATGGACGAATCTTACAATGAGCTTTCACGGCGGGATAGACGAGGCGTTCGAATCCGGGATAGGATACTGGTGGCGTTTGGCATTGATAGAGTCCCTATTGAGACTTTCTTTCCCGAGGATTCCAACTCCTAGTTTAGCCAGATGGGCGGAACATCATTTTCAGCTCATGGATGAATACTTTTTGAGCAGCTGATAGACGGTATTTCAGTTCACCCATCCCACGGTGATTTTTCATCCACCGACATTCACGCATGTCCACAACAGAGCTCAGCGCTCACTGCTCTATCCGTAGGAACCTGCGGATAAGCATTCCGCAAACTTCGGGCCTTGATGCGAGAGGTGTGCAGATGACAGGGTTCCCCACACTAGCTGATCCTCTGCTTCCCGCCCGTGACCGAGAATGCAACCGTTCAATGACCCCCGAATCCTCAAAGTCCTGTGTTGGACTAACACATTTATGCGGCCGATACCTCCGACTCTGTTAACGACCTCGAACCTTCCAGGTACCCGCAACCTCCCCCGGCTGTTTTTCCACAACAGCCGCAGCTTCCCCCTGACGGCACGCCCAGGTTCCTGAAGGCGCTATGGGCTACCTGAGCGTGGCGGAGGATTACCTAAGTGCGCTAAAGCACGGGGTGTGCATTTCTTTTAGTCAGGTGTGCTGGGAGGTAAGACAGAGAGCAAGCGACCATTCCAGGTTAGAGGTAACACTGTGTTCCGTCCGTATTCATCTCGTCGTCGGCCGCTCTTGTGCTCTTTTTTGATATTATACCATCATCTGTATTTCATGACTCTTTTCATCCGCGTCTGTTAACCCATCTTTGTTCTTGTTCCATCGGAAGATGTAGAAAAGCCGTCGAGAGCCTGGATTCTACGTCTCGAATGCTTTGAGACTGTGTTCGGGGAGCGTGGGACGATTCTGGTGATTTGAGGTTGGAGGAGAGAAGGACGACGACCAGCGGCGGATTCATCGGGAAACTCGTTTCTGAGTCCGAGACTCATCGCCATCGTGTGTGACAGAGGTTGAGTTCGCGTTTTGATCACTACGGGCGCGCGAATACCATCTCTGTGACTCTGCACTCGCTGCAAAAGACGCTCACATCCGCGGATATGCTGCGCTCCATCATCCGGCGCCTGGCGTCGGATCAGCCCGAGTCCGTCAACGACTATATCGGCGTCGTGGTACCGCTCGAAGAAGCCCACCTGCATAGTCACTCGGCCCGGACTGGCAAATGCGAATTCGAGGAACGACCGAGTGAGGACGAGGACGAGGACGGAGAGGATGACGGCAAGGACCAGAGTGAGAGCGCGGGGATGCTGGAGATGAGCGCCGCCGAGTATACCATCGAGGGTCTCAGAAAAGAGGTTAGGAGAGGTGGGCAAGGACGATGGACTGAGTATGAGTGTGAGTTTGAGATCTTCGACGAAGCATTCAAGAAGAACCCGATGGGTCGGCGAGATGGGTACTGATGTGGGGGACAGTGAAATCGAAGCTCATCAACAAGGCGATTCAGGATATTGGCATGGGGCGGTATAACTGGCAGCTCTTTGTCCTTTGTGGATTTGGCTGGTTCGCAGATAAGTGAGTCTCTCTGTCACCTTATGATGAGGATAATGCTAACCGGTTTGCTAGTTTGTGGATGCACGTAAGTTCAGCTTCAGCCTGATTCCCATAAGCAGCCATGGAGTCTCCAAAGGTACTGACAACAATTTCAGGGTGTTGCACTCACGCTCCCTTCTCTGTCCGCGGAGTTTGGCATCTCAGAACAGCGTGTGCGCTACACGACGTCGTCAATATTTCTTGGACTCTGCTTTGGGTCCTTCATCTGGGGCATCGGCTCTGATGTCTTGGGTCGTCGCATCGCCTTCAACCTCACGCTTCTCATCACGGGCGTCTTTGGCATTTTGTTGGCCTTCGCACCGACATGGGGCTGGGTGAACTTCCTCTTTGCAGCCCTCGGTTTTGGCGTCGGCGGAAATCTGCCAGTGGATGGAGCACTGTTCCTCGAATTCTTGCCGGACGCATCGAGCAGTCTACTGACGTTGCTGTCGGTGTGGTGGCCGGTCGGGCAGCTGTCTTCGTCGCTGGCGGCGTGGTATTTCATTGCCAACTGGCCTCCCGAACAGGGATGGCGGAGATTCGTTTTGACTATTGGGCTGATTACATTCATCATGTTTGTTGTTCGGTTCTTCGTATTCCGTTTGTTCGAATCTCCAAAATTCTTGCTCTCGAAGGGGCGCCAGTCGGAAGCTATTGCCGTCGTACATGGCATCGCCTTTCGCAACGGTGCGAAGACTTGGTTGACCGAGGAGGTCCTGGATGCAGTAGTCGATGGCGTGGCAGACGAGGATGAAGACCATTCAAGGGCTGGCCGCTCAGGAGTGTTCCGCGGGTCCGGCGTCGCCGCAAACGCTCTCCGCGAGAGAATGAAGGCGTTTTCCGCAGACCGACTTCGGCCACTCTTCAAGACTCGGACCCTCGGCCTTGCCACTGTGGTGGTCTGGTTCGTTTGGGCGACAATTGGCATGGGCTATCCCCTCTTCAACGCCTTCCTCCCGCAGTACCTCTCCCATGGCGGTGCTGCCCCTCCGCCCGAGGACTCCCCAGATGCAGGAGCGACACCAATCACGCCAGACACATATCGAACCTACGCAATCACCTCCGCCGTAGGGGTGCCAGGCAGCCTGTTGGCAGCCTACCTAGTCGACCAGAAGTCCCCTTGGCTCGGGCGCCGCGGCACGCTCGCCTGCTCGTCTTTTGTCTCGGCCGTCTTCCTCTTCATGTTTGTCAAATTCGGCACCTCCCCCGCTTCTCAGCTCTTCTTCTCCTGCGTCGAGGCCTTCTCCCAGAATATCATGTACGGCGTGTTGTACGCCTTCACGCCGGAGATCTTCCCCGCGCCGGTGCGCGGGGCCGGAACCGGCGTGGCGAGCTTCTTGAACAGGGCCATGGGGCTTTTGGCGCCGTTGTTGGCGGCGAATATGCCCGGGGATGGGGTCACGACGCCGATTTATCTGTCTGGGGCGTTGATTTTGGCGGCGTTTGTCGGGATGTGTCTGATTCCCATCGAGACGAGGGGTCGGCAGAGGTTGTGATTGTTGGGCTGTTTGAATGTAAGGATAAAGGAGGTGTGGAAGTTCCCTGATATACAAAACTTCTTAGAAACAAGCTTTGAAGACCTGCGATTGAGCACCGAGTGCCTCGGTCTTTCTTGTTCTACATGATCTACATCAATACCTTCGCAAAAGCATCCCCTAGCCCACGTTCCACCAACCACCCCTCCACAGCCTTCATATCGCCCCTGTTCGCCCTCTGTCCTCTCCTCTCACCTACAGAGTCCGTAATCTCCGACATATCCGCAAAGACTCTCTTCGAAATGTCCTTTTCGCGATGCCTCTCGCTAACCTTTTTATGATGTGCAGGGATATCGCCCCAGCTCTCCGTCTTGATGAACTTCATGTAGTCGTCGATGCTTTGCGACCCGCCCTCCAGACACAATAATCCAGGTTTCCCGGCGTAGAGGAAGCCCGTGAGGTGGTACGCGGGCGCATTGATGATGAAGTCGTCGCGCTTGGAGCGGGTTGAGATGGAGGGGAAGTAGAACCACACCCGCACCATGGGACCTGCGTCAGCTGTGGCAGCAGCATTGGAGACTGCGGACTCGGCTTCTGCTGCTGTTTTTGCTTCTTCGAGGTACGCTACTGCTGAATCGTTTATTGCGTCTATGATGCTGAAGAGGTCGTCGTCGCCGTCTGGGATTTGGGTGTTGAGGTGGGCGGTTGCTGCGCGGTTGAGCCATGCTGGTTGGAGTATTCGGACTCTTATACGGGGTGCTTCTTCTGGTGGCTCGTCGGCTTCGTATGAGAAGGGTACAGTGATGTCTAGTTGTAAAAGTTTTGGCAATGAGGAGTCTTGGTCCGGTTCTGGGACGGTGAGTGTGAGTAATATGGTCACTGTTGGTGCGCGGCTCAATAACAGATTTGTGGTTTCATCGCCTTGTTCTATGTGTGTTTTGAGGAGTTGTAGCGATTGTTCGGATTCCTTGTCGATTGAGACCTCATCCTCTGTGGGGTACATTGCTGTGAGGAGGTCGATTTGGCCGATTTGGTGTTCGATTAGGTCGGATGGTAAGAGGTGCCATGATGATGCGACTGCCATTGTGAATTAATCGCTGTTGACTAGCCGTTGAATATTGAAGTTCGCGACTGCTAGTTCCAGTATCTTGGTTCTCATGACTTCCTCGTAGTATTGGTCAACCTGCCATGACTTGGTCAGTAATGGTTCATTCTGAGATATTTTCGAACCTCATTTAAGCCACACCTCTCAGCCACATACGCCACACTTGGGAGATTCCCATGATGCTGGGCAGCTTTATGAATTATATGATTAATTGGCTGCTCAGGTAGCCTTGGAGCTTATGGAGAAATATTGCTATATCACTGAGAATGTGGATTTCACCGGTTGTAGAGGCAACGTCTGACCGCGTCCCCGTCTCGTAAGGGGCACAAGAAACAGCCACAGCAAAAGACAAGCAGTCGGATCTCACGCGGGAAGCGACAAATTCATCCAAGTAAAGCGTGAGGTGGCGTGTCGACCGCCGAATGATGATTTTCTAGCAAAAGAGTACACGCGCGTCTAATGTCTGCTCTATCTATTACCCTTCGCACCAGCTGGTGCATCGACCCTGCGTTTCTGGAACTGCTTGCCAATCGCATCTCTGACCATCGGGTCCGCCCTGATGGTGTTCTGAACCAACCAATCTTTGACCTTGGCACGCACGCTGCTGAGCGCCTCCTTATCGCCGATAAACGGCGTCATCTCCATCTCTAACAACCTGCTCGTCTCGCCGTCCAGACCGCGGGCCATCATCTCGAGTCGCTGTAGGCCTTCATCGACTGCGGCCGCCGAGCTCTCGGCCGCTTTTTGCGCCGCCTGGCCCTGAGAGTTCAGCAGAGGACCGAGCTGGCCGAAGGCGATGTAGATCGTGACAGCGGCCTGACGAGCGAGCGAAACCAACTGAAACTGAAGATAGGGTGGGCGGCGCAGGGCTGTGCTCAGCACTGTGTTGAAGATGGCTAGAAATGGCGGCATCTCGGGCCGAGTAACAACGATGAGCTCCGCGACGAAGAAGGTGAGAAGGATAATCCACCGCCAGTATCGTCCCCAGTCGAGGTATCCCAGCAGACTCAAGCCGTAAGTAGCAGCCGCCGCGATGCCGTAGTACGGGATTGTTCCCTGCATAATGCCACGCGCGACAAAGTCGTGAATGGTCTTGCAGCCCTGCCAGGCGCCGACCTCGGGACCGAAGCGCTCGTAGGCGAAGCGACGGGCTGGGTCGGAGAGGGTCTCTGAGGCGGTCTTCAGGTGCATGAAGCGTGCGGCGGCGGCGCCAGTGTCAGCGCCATTTGTGCCTGCCTTGTCTGGATGGTAGACGGCCGCGAGCCGGCGGAAGCGAGACTTGATTATGCGGACGGGGGCACTTGCAGCGACGTCGAGGTCGGTGTAGAAGGTCCCTTGCAGGCGGAGGGTGCGGTCGGCCTCAACAAGGGTGTAGAGGAGGTAGAAGGAGACGACGAGTATGTGGATTCGGCGGCGGTGGATGGCATACTTCGCGGTTCCGGGCTGAGGCTTGGGATCACCGGCGCGGATTGCCAGACCGTAGTAGATTGCTTGGACCCAGCCGGTGACTAGCTGTGAGGGATGTCAGTCGTTGCGATGCTCAATATGGAGGGGTTAGGTCGTGCGGCAGGTATCACGTACGTTGGGCAAGAAGGCCCAGCCTAGAAGGGAGAGAACATTTGACATTGTGATGATCTGCGCATCCCTTTGAGGCGGTCCAAATATCTTGTGGAACGACGAGTAAGGAAGAAAGATCGCGACGTTGTCGACGGAAACCTGATCAACAGTCGATAGTTGTGATGTCAATTCGCGACCGAGCTTACTGACTTGCTGGCGTTTTCGACCAGTGTCAACTGCCAAGAGCTGACCTCATTATTTGTGGGACTTGAAGCCAGGGCCTGATCCCTGCCATATGGGGGACCAGCGTCTCGCTTATGTCATCTGAACTCATCATCTCATCTACCATCTGCATGAATATTCAATTTCGCAAATTGGAGGTCATCACGTGGCTATTTGACATCCTTTGGAAAGCCCTCGTCTTCCCTCGTCTCCCACTCTGAATTTTATGGAATGTTCCGTTGCTTTCCAACTTTTTATCCCTTCAATCCAGAATTTGAGCGCTGGTCAGGGGAACCGGGGCCCCAAAATTTTTACACTCGTCTTGTGTCCCAGATTCGTCGATGGCGATATTTGTTTCTCGTCTACACGTAATGCCAATCATCGCGACCTTTGAAGTGTAGAAACAGACTTCTACCAGGCATTGATTCACTAATCACTTCATGCTTATTCGAGCAATGCTTGACCGCCAATTCGAATGTCAGACTGGAGAGTTCGAAGCTAAGGTACTCCGCAAAGCCTATGTTAGCAGTCCCCACGATAGAAGTGGACAGCGAGACATTGGGGAAGATGAAAGCTTTGATCGGTCATAGGACTTTTTCAACTCTTGGCGGTCTTCATTCTACCCTAATCTGCGGCGGAAATATCGGCCGAATCTGTTTGACCGCCTAGGTATAATAACTCAGAAGTGAATACGACGAACCTTCTGCCCACCCTTCAAACTTCTCTATGCTCCAAGTTAAATTAGCGGAGATTTGTCCGACTAACTCGCTATCTTATACCTCACAATTCAAGAAAGGAACAAAGCAAGTCTATGAGCGATTGGCTTCTGGAGTCTGGCGGGGCGATAAAGCTTGAGACAAAGCTTGGCACTGGCCTGTGTATCCTGCTTCGTGGTCAGAAGGTTAGTTTGCCTCAGCAAAATGTCTGTGTCATTGGCATAATATCTCTGAAAGACGAATATAGTCTTCAAGGCTAATGTCAGAGTCGGAGGCTAAAAGTCTGCATTGAGTCTGTTAAGATATCGAGACAACCCAGTTCTTGTTCATTGGTATCGACGATTGCTGAGAACATATTGGCCGTGATGACACATTTCGACCGGAACATCCTCACTCTTCTTATTGATGAAACCTTTTCGGATAGTTCCAATCCTCACTTCGTAATAGTCAATTTTACCCGTCACCACGAGGTTTTGTTACTCAAGGTAGGTAAAAACCTGAAATGGGTGGGATATCACAAAGTGTCATCGAAGAATGAGATGGTGGAGCTTGCTGCGGAACTTCTTGAGAGAGCTGTCTGCCTTTATTAGAAGATCTTAGTTTTGGAAAAGTCGAGAGAAGGTATGTGGCCTCTTGGCAATTTGTTGCATCTGTGAATCGTGCGAACTTTTCCGCCAACGATGTGGACTTGAGCACATGTCTTGGTGCACGAAGATAGGATCAGTCACTCAGACAAGAATGCATTCTCCCCTGCAGAGTAAGCATGATTGAGAGCCGAGATACCATGAGAAATATCAGATTATATGATCACTAGGTTCTGCAAGTCCAGAAATTTGATAAGATGTAAACATTCAGCATTAAAAAAGTCTGTCAAAGACTTTTGCAACAACGCGTGCTTATCTCAGGCCGTGAATATCGAGTCTAAGACTCATGCTTCTCAATCATGTACCGTTCCGAGTCAATCCTCCTATACAACCTGACTGGCTGAAATCACTCCAACATTTCGGTCGACGCTGATGGTATCATTTCTACACTCCGTGCTTACTCAGCCCCTCTTGTTTGGTATCATATTAAAATCCAAGATTAATCACACTTTGAGCCAATAGTACCACTGGCGTCGGCACATACACCGGAGTTCTGAGCCTGGATGCAAGAGTCCTTGAACTCGTTGCCGCCAAATCCAGAGACGTACCGTGTCCGGCCGCCATCCTTAGGAGCAATAGTTGCGCAAACCTGATGACAATGTTAGAATCATGCCTTGAAATCAATTTGAGGAGGTCCTATTCGACTTACGTGCCACAGCATTGTTGTGTTAACGTTTTGCGGGTTGTCATTCTCGAAGATCTTTTGCGATGTCCGGTAAACATCGCAGGCCTTTTCCGTGAGACACTTATGAGATACATCATTGATAACACAGTAGCATTTGGCGTGTTCGTTTGCAAGCGCACTGGTTTCGTCAGTCATGATCTAACTAAGCTTGGGTTGCGAGCGGTGCTGACTTACACCGGAAAGACGAGGAGCGTCAATGAGAAACAGAAGAATAAAAGTCTCGTAAACATGTTGTTGGATGGTGTATTTAAGGTTGACCACGAGAGGAGCGAGGAGAGCAACTGAGGAAGGTGAGAGTTGAGTGTAAGACACAGTGATCGGTTGCGGGAATGATGTGAGGTTAACAAGTACTGTAGGGCTGGGCCGAACTGTGGTCTAGACTAAACTTATGTACCTGCATCTGCTATTTGGAGTGGACGCGGGCGTAATTTAGGAAATGCGGGAGAGTTCAATTACCATTTGAGTAGCTCGACAACTAGACCAGATAAGGATGGTCCCTGACGCGTGGATCAATTCGACTTAATAAACTAAGGAAATGTCAGGATAATGGCAGCAGCTTGGCCATTGCTCTGGGGAGTTCTCCACCACGATAGGGAATGATCCGACCTGAATCATGTTCCCCCCGTGGCATCCGATGATCCCGCCGTTCCATGACGCCGGGCGGCTACTGCACGCCGCCTTGTCATACTACCTCAATTAACAATATGCGGGCCATGACGGACGAGACCGCCCCCAGTCGTTGGTATTCTAGTTCGGTTTCTGGAAAAAATCTCGTATCGCGGGGTGATGTGACAGCTGAGAGCCTGAAAATGATAAAGATGGGACGGCGTTTGCGCGAGTCAAACTAAGCGGACACTTGGGCAGAAGCTTGGTTGCGGCTCAGACAACGGCCGAGTGTTTGATATAGAAAGGCAAAATAAATTGCTAAGCCACTTAGTACGAGCAGCATTGATCAACAGATCACGGGACCTGAGCGAGACCGCTTATCACTTGAACCATATTCCGCAAATAATCTTCGTGGAAACAAGCAGGTTCCCAGATCCATTCCCTGGCGACGCGTGACTAGTTGATCAACACCATCAATTGTCACGCGGCGATATTGGATGACACATGTTAACCTTACTCGTATTTTCCCGTGCCTTCCTATCAAGCTTG